GTCTCCAAATCAAATTCTCTGGCCAGCAGATAATACTTGAGACTTTCCAGAGCCCACTTAATTGCCAGGCCTTCTTTTTCCACTACAGAATACCTCACCTCTCGAGGTAGTAGCTTGCGGCTCAGGTAGAGTATGGATTGCTCCTCTCCAGGATCTCCTTGAGCCAGGACAGCTCCGAGGCCAACTGTGGATGCATCTACCTGGACCAGGAATTTCCTACTAAAATCAGGACTTCGAAGGACAGGAGATGAACATAGATGAGCTTTCAGAGTGTTAAGAGGATTCACACTCTTTGGTCCACACAACAGGATTCTTCTGATCTTTCGCTGTCAAACTGGTGAGTGGAGAAGCAAGTGTGGCAAAATGAGGCACAAACCTTCGATACCAACCAGCTAGTCCCAGGAATGACCGCACTTCCTTCTTGGTTTGAGGACGAGAGCATTTTTGTTCTTCTCAGCTTCTTCCTGGTACTCAGCAAGCCGACCTCTCATCTGCAGCACGTACTGGACCACACCTTTAGCACTAGATGAGGTTTCTGATGCATCCCAGCTTTTCCTCAGCAGGTCTAGAGGTCCCTGAACATCCCATCCATACAGGAGTTCAAATGGGGAGAACCTGGTTGATGCTTTGCCTCACGATAGGCAAAGAGAAGGAATGGTAACCAGCGGTCCCAATCTCTGCCAGTGTCATTCATAAACTTCTGCAGCATCCTCTTTAGCGTCTGGTTGAATCTTTCAACCAGTCCATCAGTCTGTGGATGGTAAGGCGTTGTCCTGATGGCTGAGATCCCAAGCTGTTTATGAAAGAGTTTTAGCAGATTAGAGGTGAAATTAGTTCCCTGGTCGGTCAAAATCTGATCTGGGACTCCAACTCTTGAAAATAGCTGGACCAGAGCTCTAACTATTGTAGGAGCAGTAATTGTATGCAGTGGAAAAGCTTCTGGAAATCTGGTGGCATAGTCACATACTACCAAGATGTACTGATGACCACGCCCACTCTTCACTAGGGGTCCAACAATGTCCATTGCAACCTTACAAAAAGGAGTAGAGATGACAGGTAGTGGCTGGAGGAGCGCCCGATCTGATTTCCGAGCAGGACGAGTCTTCTGACATGTAGGACAAGAAGCACATAATGCATTAATGTCATTATACATTGACGGCCAGTAAAAACGTGAGCTGATGTACATAAATGTTTTGTGACGCCCCAAGTGCCCTGCCCATGGAATGGTGTGTGCCAAATGCATGACAAGTGCCCTACAGCGAGTTGGAACTACCAACCATTGTTTTTCATTACAAACATACAACACGCCATCTTTTAACACAAACGTTTCTCTTCCTCTCCACTTAGCATTAGTTTTTTCCTCCACTCTGTCAAATAAAGGTTGTAAAGACACATCCTGTTTCTGTAAAGTAGCAATATTTTCAGGTATCTTCCACATGTCATCCACTGTTAAATCTTGTGACACATTTCCACCCAGCAGTAACTTTTTCTCAAATTTTTTCTGCTTTCTGGATTTTCTAGACACTTTTGGAACCTCAAAGAAACTATCATCAAAATTAGGTAAGGATTCAACTTGTTCTTTGGCCTGAGAACGAGTAATCACAGGACAGGACGCATTGCTAACTTTGTCCCCCTCAGTTTGTACCTCTCCCAAAAGGTGAAACATCACAGGTAAATCTGTACCCAAAATGACATCAAAAGGTAGGTTTTTCACCACCAACAGTTAGCAAATATGGTTGATCATCAACAATGACAGTCACTTCTGCTCTTGGATAAACATGACAATCTCCATGACACACAAAATCTCAGTTTTCTTTTCATAGTTCACACATCCAACAGATACAAGACTCTCTTTTATGAGTGATGTGGAACTACCACTGTCTATTAATGCAGTCACCTGCAATCCATTCACAATCACAGTTTTCTGAGTTCTAGTTTCAAAGTTTTTGACTCCAGTCTGATTTTCAGCTCTAGGAGCATAGCAGGAACCAGTAAACTTTGTCTTCTTTATTGGACACACCGAAGCCTTGTGGCCCGGCTGCTGGCAATAATAGCAAATTAATGTCTTACCATTAGGCGGTGGATTCAGAGGACTGATGGTACCTTTAACCTCCTGGCTTGGATCTCTGGCATACCGTTGATGTCCAGCCGGTTGAACAGGGCGTGGTACTGGATTGGAGCAACGTGCTCCTCCTCCTCGCTGTGCATTCATGTACTAAAGAGCCAACTTTGCAGCAGTCAGACCATCCTTAGGTTCATGTTCCTTCACCCAGGTCCTTACATCAGAGGGTAGAACGCTCAGCAGCTGTTCCTGGATGATGAGCTCCCCGATGTCCTCTTTGGAATGCTGGTCTGGACGGATCCATCGTCGGTAGAGACCTCTAAGGCGGTGGTAAGTTTCAGTAGGAGTTTCACCAGCAGGTCTACTTGTTGCTCTGAACTTCTGTCTGTAAGTCTCTGGTGAGATGTCAAACTTTGCTAACAAAGCAAGTCCTTGTAGCAGTGAGCACGTTCCTCATCCATGGCAGCATAGGCCTCCAGCGCCTTCCCAGAAAGGAGTGGAATGAGTCGGCACGCCCACTCACTCTCTGGCCACCTCCAGGTCTTAGCAATGCGCTCAAACCGCAGCAGATAGTTTTCCAGGTCTTCTAATTGATAAGGAGGAATTTGTGGATCAGTGGTGTAACTTACTGGCTGAGGTTGCCGGCTTGGATCACCATCATCACCACCACCATCATCATCGTCGTCACTTTGCTCCGCACCAACTCCTGGCTGAAGGTGAGGGCGTGGTACTTGCTGTGGTTGCTGCAAAGACATCCTAAGATTCTGCAGTTCCTTGAGCAGCCCTTTCTCTCACTTTTGCTGACCTGCCATAAAGTCCTTCATCAAAGTGAAAAACTCACTGCCAAACGTACTTGATCCACTGGGGCCAGGCTTTGTTTCACCTTCCTCATCTGATCCATCCGACGTCGGCATGCTCTCCCATGCTTTGTCAGCCATCTGCTCTTCCATCTTTGATTGTGATCGAAGACCAGATCTTTGCTTCACCAGCTTGTCATAATCCCACTCCTGACACCATATGTGACGGGGTTCTTTTATGACTTGGGCCACCACAAAAAAATGGCGGGCCAAGGCCAAGGATTACTTTAGTGAGATTTATTTTTTTATCAGTGCAGTGAATCAACAGTGGCAAATGCATTATAGTTACAAAAATGTCCAAGATGAGTTAAAATCAAAAACAGCACAGCAGTACCTTCACAGTCCAAGGGTCTCACCTTCAGTGTGGCTCCTCTAGAGTCCAGGTGCCGACTGCCCTCTGTGAAACAGCCCTGCTTTTATAGCTGCAGGCTCCGCCCAGAGGAAGTCCCATCAAACCAAACTAAACTAAAACTAAGCAATTATTTCTAACTCAAATACTTGACATATGCAAAATAATAATAAGGAAGGAAAAATAAATAAATTTATAATCAAAATACACCCAAACAAAAGAACAAAAACAACCAGCACATTGTGATGATTACACATCACATAATTGGCTCCCGGTTTGCTCCAAGCCAGAAACAACTTCCCCCAAAAGAAAACCGGAAAAACATCTACCTGAAAATAACCGATTAGAATGAACGTCAAACGAAAACACCGCGTGTGCACCCACGATGAATCGCCTCAATCCAAACTAAAAGGAAAAGAAACAGGTAAGTTTATAACTGTGCATGTTTGCTAACAGGGCTCCTCCATCACAAAAAACCATGCTGAACAGGGCATCAGAGGAACCAAAGCTTAACATTGAAGAGGAAAATAAAACCCTTCAGGTTATACCTGGAGGACGACCTGGACGTCCAGACCCAGTTTGTAGTTTCACTTGGGGTGGAGCTGCAGTGTCTGGTGGGCCTGCAGCTGCAGCTGGAATATTGCCTCACCTTGACCTCTGCAGTGATTAACCTGCACCATGTCAGGTGTCCCCTTAACACGATACAGCTGAGTATCGTAGTATTTGAGTAGCCCCTATACATTAGGTTACTCAAATCTATACTATACTGTGGTAGCCGCCCTGTCTGTCTCCAGAGTCTGAGAGGGCGGTTATGGGGGCAGCACACGTTGCAGCGTCTGTCACTGATGACCTGATGACCTGATGACCTGGGTACCAGCGACATGAACAGCTTCAGACGGTTGTAGAGAACAACGTTGGGTTTAGCTCTGGGATCAAGTTGGTCTAACACCTCATAGTCAAAACCCATGTCCGCCTCAAAATCCAGCTGTGTTCAAACGTTGAAAGGACCGGTCCATCTAGAACCCGACTTGACAAAGCGGGGATGCAAACCCACACTGAACCCCCAGCATCATAAGTTTCATGCCTCATAATAGTGCTTCTGTCGTAAGGCTGCAGCAGCAATGTTAGCAGCAGTGTCAAAGCAGAACCTTTGTTTGGACTCTAGTAGCAAACTCATGATGTTGGTGTTTGTCTGTTGTTGCTGTTGTTGGTGGAGCTCTAAGGAAAAGATCGGCTGGGAAACGATCCTCCCGACATTCAACCAAAAGCTTGGAGTGAACTCCAGTGTTGAATGCAAACTCAACCTGCTTCAAGTTTTATTGATTATTTTTGTAAACATGTTTTAAAATGCTGTGGTCGTGTCAAAGCAGCATCGGTTTTCTGTTCTCTGGGAAATTATTTCTGATGATAAAAACAGAAACAACCATAAAAGCATCAACAGTAGAGGTAATGATAATAAAATAATATGCAGTGCAAAGCAGGAAGGGACCTGGATGATGTACAGGGCAGCGCTGGCCCTGAGAAACACTGACTTAGACTGACCATGACCTTTGACCCTGAACCAATTTTTCAGGTCCTGAATGCAGGTTTCAGCATCTTGATGTTTCTGCTGTTGGATGAATCTTCATATTGATGAATCTGATGTTCTCATCACACAGACCTGCACTGATCACTGTCTAGTTAAAGTCCACTTTGACCTCTGACCTCTCTGCTCTGTGTTGCTTTCCTGTAGATCAGAACAACTCTTCAGTCAAAGCTGAACCTGGACAGAACGCCTTTCTGCCATGTAAAGCTTCTGATCCGGAGGGGATCCAAGTCATAGAGTGGAGGAGAACCGACCTGGCATCAGATTTTGTCCTGCTGTACAAAGATGGGAAGATCGATCCGATTGCCCAGCTTCAGTCTTACAAGGACCGGATGGACCTGCTGGTTAATCAGATCCAGAAAAGAGACGCGTCTTTGGTTCTGCAGAACACAACGATTGCTGACAGTGGAACATATGAGTGTCGAGTCATACAAGGAAACCGTGAGAGGAAACTGATCAGCACCGTCAGCCTGGTTGTAGCTCCTCGTCCTGCAGGTGAGTCTGGATCAGAACCAGCAGCTTCCTGGTTCTGGATGTCAGAGAGAAACATCTTCAACAGTATCTAATTCATCATGATCTAGGACTGGGCAATAAATCAATTTATTTCATCCAATTTTAGATTTTTAAATATTAAACTGTTTTTTTCCACCAAGCTAAGATTTTATTTTTTATGAGAATAAAGTCATAATGTTAGGAGAATGAAATGATCATTTTATGAGAACTGCAGCACAAAAACTAACCTGAATATTAAGTGATGATCTAAACGTTGAAGGAGAACCTCGAGGACCTGGAGTGCCCACCCCTGCCCTAGTGGATGGACATTTAACACACACAAAAAAAAAGCAGCAACACTGAACTCATGTCTCTGTCCTCAGAGTCTTGCAGGAGACACAGAGAGGAGACACAGAGTCATATGACCATCAGAGCTGCTGCTGTCTGTCCAGCTCATCTTGTCCTCTGTTGTCTCTCAGTCCCAAAGGTGGAGGTGGAATCAGGGGTGGAGTCTGTCCTGCTGCCCTGCAGAATCACAAAGAGTCTGGATGGAGACGTTAAGGTGGAGTGGAAGGACAAAGACGACAGGAAGGTCCATGTGTATCAGAACGGTTCTGATCAGCCTGGAGAACAGAACCAGATCTACAGAACCAGAACCAAGATGGATGAAAACCTGCTGAAGACTAAAGACCTCAGTCTGACTCTGAAACGTCCCAGAGATGAAGACGCAGGGACCTACACCTGCAGAGTTTATAACAGAGACGGAGACATGCTGATGATGAAACAAGTTAATCTGAAGGTCAAAGGTCAGTAGTTTAAAGGTTCTGATTGGTTCTGATCAATACTGATGGTTGTCTGATTAGAAGGTCAAAGGTCAGTGTAATGAGTGATGAAGATGAGGAAGCAGAGCAGGAGGAAGAGGTCCAGGACAGACGGGACCAGAGTCCAGCTGCTGCTGGGGACAGTCTGCAGCTTCCTGCTGTCCTCATGAGGACATTCTGTCCACCTGCTGCTGGTTGGACTCAGCAGAGACACCAGTGGAGACTGGAACCAGACTGGAACCAGTCCAGCATGTTGGACTGGTTCCAGTCTGAGGAAATGTCCTCAGAGCTGCTGCTGTCTGTCCAGCTCATCTTGTCCTCTGTTGTCTCTCAGCCCCAGAACCAGTGGAGGTGGAATCAGGGGTGGAGTCTGTCCTGCTGCCCTGGAGAATCACAGAGAGTCTGGATGGAGACGTTAAGGTGGAGTGGACGGACGGAGACAACTGGAAGGTCCATGTGTATGAGAACGGTTCTGATCAGCCTGGAGAACAGAACCAGATCTACAGAACCAGAACCAAGATGGATGAAAACCCACTGAAGAATAAAAACCTCAGTCTGACTCTGCTGGATCCCACATACAGTGACGTCTTCACCTGCAGCATCTCCAGAGATAAAACCGTCCTGATGATGAAACAAGTTCAGCTAAAGGTCAAAGGTCAGTGTTTTAAATTTGATCTTCTTTATATCTTTAGACTTCAGTGATCACATATTTGTGTTGGATCGGAACCAGCTGGTACCATCCGGTCCAGGTCCACAGAACCTGGACCTGGAAGGAAAGTCCAGTTCAACCCAGTAGAACTTTCAGAACCAGATGGAGAAAGATCCACCTTCCTGCTGCTGCTGCTCATCTTCCTCTTTCTGCTTCTCTCAGACTGGCAGGTGGAGGTGGAGGAGGGGGTGGAGTTTGTCCCGCTGCCGTTCACAGTGAACTCTGACCTGCTGAAAGGAGGGAGAGTTACAGTCTGGTGGTTGGACAGAAGAAACAGGACGGTCCATGAGTATCAGAAGGGTTCTGATCAGCCTGGAGAACAGGCCCAGTTCTACAGAGATAGAACCAGGATGAATAAAGACGCTCTGCAGACTGGAGACCTCAGTCTGACTCTGAGTCGACCCACTGAGATTGACTCCACTTGGTTCCGATGTGGCGTCTACATGGATGGAGAATTGTTGCGGATTAAAAGCTTTCAGCTAAACTTCAAAGGTTTGTCCATCTGCCTCTGATTGTCTCTCGTCCTTCTGTCCGTCTCTCTAACTCTGTCTCTTCATCAGGGTCAGGCCAGGTACAACCAGAGGACACCGGGTCCAGCACCGGGTCCATCTTCAGTTCAAATACAAACTGAAAAAATCTCTGAACTTTTTATTTCCAGTCCAGAATTTGGATCCCTGTAAATATTTTCTGCTGTAGACGTTGATGTGTTTCTGCTCATTAATAAGTTTATTAACCTTTACTGGATCCAAATGAAGAATCACATTGTTACAGTCCTGTATTTATCACCAACAGGTCAAAGGTTAAGTAATTTTTCCATGAATTTGGTTTTTCTGTCTGTTACTTTATTCAGTGGTTTTTATTTTCCGTTTATATTTTTAGCGTGGAAATACTTTTTAAGGAGTTGTTTTTGCAGAAAAGATTTCTGGTGCCAGGAAGGTCGATTTGACCTGGAAAAGCACAAAAGTTGGATCAAGACTCGGGTTGGAAAGTGAAACTGTTAGGACAGATAAGAACAATTATTATTACTTGACTTGTTTTGCAGTTCTGGTGTGGAGCAGATGTTCAGGTCAAGAGGTCATTAGCGTCACGAGGGAAACTCCAATACACACTCAGTCAGTGGGCAGCCAAGAATCTTGATGCAAACCAACATAGATATTTGGATTGGTCAAAACTTCTCTCAAACCCTTGACATCAAGGAAAGATATAAAAAGCTTGGACACAAAGAACGGTTGAGATTTTTGGAGATTTTGGGGATTTGAGAAACAATGTTTTATATGATGCATCCGTAGTAGATGTGTTAATAAATCTCCTGACCCGTCGTGGCTGGCAGTAAGAACTCGTCTCTGTGGTTTGTTATGTTTATCCATATATTTGAGAGTTTCTCCAATAATATCAAATATTAATTTTCAGGGTTTTGTATTTATCAGCTGAGTTTTCTATCTTGGTGCTTTGGGACTTTATGTAAAGTTGTTTTTAACTTCATGATTTATCATCCATTCATTGTCTTCCTTTCATCAGCAGTCGGGTCAGGGGTCAAGGGTCAGCGGCCTCAGAGATCAAATCAAAATCAAATCACATTTTATTAGTATAGCTCATTTCAGCAGCAAGACATTTCAAAGTGCTTTACATCATAAACACAAAGTCATATAATAAACAATACATAAAGTCCATCATTACATTTGTAATTGATTACGTTTCCAATCAAACTCTAATCAGCTGGTTTTTACTTGAGATTTAAAGGAAGTCAGGGTTTCTGCTGTTTTACAGTTTTCTGGAAGTTTGTTCCAGATGTTTGGTGCATAGATGCTGAAAGCTGCTTCTCCTCTCTTGGTTCTGGTTCTGGATGCAGATCAGAACCAGAACCAGAACCTGAGAGTCTGGAAGGTTGATACAACAACAGCAGATCTTTGATGTATTGTGGTGCTAAACCGTTCAGTGATTTATAAACTAACAACAGTATTTTAAAGTCTATTCTTTGAGCTACAGGGAGCCAGTGGAGGGACTTTAAAACTGCTGTTATGTCTCTATCTTCCTGGTTCTAGTGAGAACAGGAGCAGCAGCTTCTGGATCAGCAGCTTCTGGATCAGCTGGTTCTGGATCAACAGCTTCTGGATCAGCTGGTTCTGGATCAGCTGGTTCTGGATCAGCAGCTTCTGGAGCAGCAGCTTCTGGATCAGCAGCTTCTGGATCAGCAGCTTCTGGATCAGCTGGTTCTGGATCAGCTGGTTCTGGATCAGCTGCAGGTTCTGGATCAGCTGCAGGTTCTGGATCAGCAGCTTCTGGATCAGCAGCTTCTGGATCAGCTGGTTCTGGATCAGCAGCTTCTGGATCAGCTGCAGGTTCTGGATCAGCTGCAGGTTCTGGATCAGCAGCTTCTGGATCAGCAGCTTCTGGATCAGCAGGTTCTGGATCAGTTGCAGGTTCTGGATCAGCAGCTTCTGGATCAGCAGCTTCTGGATCAGCAGCTTCTGGATCAGCTGGTTCTGGATCAGCAGCTTCTGGATCAGCTGCAGGTTCTGGATCAGCTGCAGGTTCTGGATCAGCAGCTTCTGGATCAGCAGCTTCTGGATCAGCAGCTTCTGGATCAGCAGCTTCTGGATCAGCTGGTTCTGGATCAGCAGCTTCTGGATCAGCTGCAGGTTCTGGATCAGCTGCAGGTTCTGGATCAGCAGCTTCTGGATCAGCAGCTTCTGGATCAGCTGGTTCTGGATCAGCAGCTTCTGGATCAGCTGCAGGTTCTGGATCAGCTGGTTCTGGATCAGCAGCTTCTGGATCAGCAGCTTCTGGATCAGCTGGTTCTGGATCAGCTGCAGCTGTTTGATTGATTTGTTGGACAGGCCTGTGAAGACGCTGTTACAATAATCAATGCGACTAAAGATAAACGCATGGATGAGTTTCTCTAGATCTGGCTGAGACATTAGTGATAGAAGGCCGACTTTGTAACCGTCTTTATGTGGCTCGCAAGGTTCAGGTCAGAGGTCAGAGGTCATCACTACTCCCAGGTTTCAGGCTGATCGCTAGTTTTTAGTTGTAATAACTGAAGCTGTGGATTGACTCTAGATCTATAACTCTAGATCTATAACTCTAGATCTATAACTCTAGATCTATAACTCTAGATCTATAACTCTATATCTGTAGCTCTAGATCTATAACTCTATATCTGTAGCTCTAGATCTATAACTCTATATCTGTAGCTCTAGATCTATAACTCTAGATCTATAACTCTATATCTGTAGCTCTAGATCTATAACTCTAGATCTATAACTCTATATCTGTAGCTCTAGATCTATAACTCTAGATCTATAGCTCTAGATCTATAACTCTATATCTGTAGCTCTAGATCTATAACTCTATATCTGTAGCTCTAGATCTATAACTCTAGATCTATACTCTATAACTCTAACTTGATCTTAGATAAAACTCTAGATCTATAACTCTATATCTGTAGCTCTAGATCTATAACTCTAGATCTA